AAGGAGTAGGAAATTTGTAAAGCTATCATTTGGACACCTCATTAATAAATAATTTTCTTTTAGTTCGTGCATATTCAACACAAGTTGAAAAATCCATAAGAAATTATCTTTTTATAAAAAAATTACATTATATCTTGGTTAACTTAAAATTAAATGATCCCAAAATTTTTAAATTAATAAATTTTTATTAAAAGAATAAATATTAATTTTAAATTAATTAATTAATTAAAATTATTTACATATTAATAATATTAAAATAAATATTAATTTTTATAATTTTTATATAAATTAATTATAAAAAAATATATTTATTACATTTTTAACTTATGTATACACAATTTCTTCCGTAAAAACTCTCCCAAAACAATAAAAAAATTCTATAAAAATTTATAATCTGCGTGTCATTCATCATCGAAAAAAATAATGATGTGAATGACAATGTGAATGTATTTGGTGGAATACGCAATATAAAAACGAGCCCCACCAAACACCTCCCAATCAGCTTTCAATGATCATGATGGTTGCCTGGTTGGTCAGCATTCCCCATCATCAGCAGCTCTTGCATCTCGACATCTGAGAATATTTCGTCCCATGACTCCTCATTGCCACCCATCTCTGCTTCGTTCTGATTTCCCACTTGCATTTGCCTCTGCTCTTGTTCATCTTCTCTGTTTTGCCTCTGTTCGTAATCTGATAAAGGGAAATTGAGCTTCGCTTTATCTCCACGGTACTCAATGGCTGCTCTGTCGTAGGCCCTGGCCGCAGCCTCCGCAGTCTCGAACGTGCCCAGCCACACCCGTTTAGCCTGCCGAGGGTCCCGAATCTCCGCTGCCCATTTGCCCCACGGCCGCTGCCTCACTCCCCTGTAGCGCCTCCTGTTGTCATTTGCGCTCATACTGGACTGGGCTGGCGGGAACGCGCTGGAGCTACCCGGAGAGACGTTGACATTGGAAGAATGACGAATGTCATTATCAGTGAGCATACTCCTGATCACACTGTCTGGAAATGATGACGTGGCATCATCCGGAAAACCGCTGATTACGTGCAGGAAAGTTGAGACCATGATCTGATCCTCTTGTTCCTGAGTCAGACGTTGAATCTGGTTTGGATTGGAGTCGCACATTTTTTTTTTTTTTTGCTTCAGGAAATTCAAGTAAAGAGTTGAGAAATTTTTTCTGAGAGAAAGAATTTTTTGTGTTTTTCAAAACCTTTTGGAAAGAATTGAGTTGCAAATTCCGAAAAAGAAGCGATGAGATTTCCCAACGGAGAAATCCTCAAATCCTCAATGGATTTATATAGTATGCGGGCTGAGCGACCACATAACTGGTCGCCAGCTGTACAACACGGTGTGGAAACGTGATTCTCAGTTAGCTGTCTTACGTTTCGGATTAGGTGGGACCCGCTGAGTATGGAATCAAGTTATTGTCCAGTTGGAACTTGGCGTGCTTACCTAGTTCCTGCCGTCATGAAGAAACACATGGCTTTCGTCTGGTCCTTAAGAGCAATGCGGCCTCACCCGCGCGGCTCCACCAGCACTTTTTAAGTGAGCGGTGCTATAAGATGATTTTTTTATATTATTTTTTTATATAATTTTTAAATATCATTAAATAAATAAATATATTAAATTTCATGAAACTTACATAAATACAAATGAAATAAAAAAATTATCTCAAAATCATTTTTCTTTTTTAATTAGCTGTAATCACGTTAAGCCTTTAATTTTCTTCTTCTTTGGTTTTTTCCTTAAAAGTGAATTATAATAAAGTTCTCAAGTCCACTTAAAAGTCTTAAATAATTATTTAAACTCCGCTAAGAATACACGTTTCAATATTTTTAACATAATTTTAATATAAATAAATTTAATGAATTATATTTATTAATTTTTAAAATAAAAAAATTTAATTGGATACTGATAATTATGAAGTTTGTAAATATTTGAGAAATCAATAAAATAAAAATTTGGAGATTCATATTGTGAAATTTTAAAAAAAAAAAAAGATAGGAGGCAGGCATTCAAACTTTAAAGTCCATTTTATAAAGGTTAAAGCCTTATTTATACTTTTA